GCCTTGGACACTTCCAGGAATGTGTTGATAAAAAAAACCCCAAAGGTCTGGACCTAGGAGTGGATGTAGTGCCAGGCTGGCAGAGTTTGGGTTTGCAGAAATGATGGGAAGTCCCAGAGAAGTTGTTTCAAACCCTGGGCAAGCTCCCTCTGATCCCATCTGACCCGTCGCAAGGGGATATCCGGTTCTCCTGTTGGGGAAGGCAAAAGTTCTCAGATTTTGGGCGGGCCACATCCCTGGTCAGAGGTGTTTCCATGACCCATCCCTGCTGGGAAAGGTGCCTGGAGCTGTGGGCTGGCTGGGGGGGGGGGCTCCGATCTGCTTTCCTGTTGATCCCAGTGYTGTCCGTAGAGGCCGATCTCCGTGGACATGAGAGACCCTCCCAACGACCAAGTGTCACCAAGGGCCACATCCAAGAATTCTTTTTTTCCCAGCCAGACCCCAGTGCCCCGCTTAGGAGTCACTCCTGGCTCCCTGGGGACTGGATGTCCCATTGTGGAAAGTATTTCTGACATGAGCRTACTCAAGGCCTCACCCAAGATTAGGAGGCTGTTGTGCAACACACAAGTGACATTTCCTGTCCTGGGGACCTTGCAGTGCTCAGAACAGTAGATGTGAGAGGAAGAAATCCCTTTTTGCACAGCAAGCTGATGATCACGATAGAGATGGGACACAATCCTCTCCACTGGTCATTCAGTGAAATTCCACGATCTGCTTTCATGTGAGAAGCTCCTTCATTGACTAAAGGCAGGGCTTCATGAAGAATTAAGTAGAAGGCCATCAGGATTAGTCAACACCRGGGACCCAGCCCATAAAAAGGACTGAATGATCCCAAGATATAAGATAAGGGCCCTGCAGAGGCACGTGGGGAAGCTGAAAATCCAAAGAGGAAGATGAGGCCACTCAGCACACCCGAGGCTCCCCCAGCCATGAGCCGATGTCTTCCTCAGCCTGATCAGCAAATCCTTTCCTCAACCCTGTCCCAGTGCTGGCTGTACCTGACTTTGGGAGAGGGAGTAAATCTTTCCAGCAGAAAGGCCATTACAGAGGTCACCGGATGGACCCATAAATCTCCATTATCAGGCAGCGGCTCCTGTGCCACAGAACGGAAATTATTGCCCTGAGTGYGACTGGGGGAGCCTTTCCTTCCCCCCTCATTGTTCAGAGCCCTCCGGGAGCCGCTCGGGCCATTTGCTGCCTGAATAAACGTTTCCTTTCCCGGCTGCAAAGTACAAGGAATAAGTGTCAGGGGAACTCATAATGCCAGGATTTAGAGCTCCAGCCCCGAGCCAGAAGCCAAGAAAACACTTTGCTGCTTTTTCCTGGGGAGTCTCCTTAATCCCCATTATTAATAACAGTGACAAATTAAACAATTAGTGCACTTGAAGGCCGGTGACCTCCTTGCCCAATATAGCTCAGGCTGATGGTGGATCCCGGCTCCTGTGGGCTCTGAGCCCTGGGAACGTTTGGGTTTCCTGGGTCTTGGGCACCCACCCACATCAAAGTGCACARGCTGCAGGTCTTCAGGTGATACTTTCGAATTATTTTGTAGATCTTCAAGGTTTTTGAGGGCAAGGGGGATGTGTGGCTAGAAGGACAAACTCAGAAAGCTCCCCTTGGCAATTTAATCTTTGAGTTTAGYGATGSCGTGAAATTATATATAKARMGTTATATAAATWTAGTAATTRYTATATATATAATTCTTCTAGGAAGRAATCCAGTCCCTTGTTTCCCACTCCTTTCGGGCCCAAACACCCTTTGTCCAATAAATGACATGCACCAAGCCCATGTAATCTTCCCTAAGCCAACATCCGGCAGTGCCCAAGACACCTCCTTCGCCATCCCAAAGCAAACTTTGAAGCAGGTGAGGATATTTCTCCTCCAGGTGATATCTCCTGAGGTCAAGGAGGTCTCTCTTCTCTGACAGGGCTGCAGGAGTGTTTTTAATGAGGTTGCACTCTGTGGATGTCATCTGACTCAGCACTGGGTGGTGCCCGCAGRGGACACACCCATCTGATACCGCTGTGATTAGGGAGAGCCACCCATGGCGTGGAGCCTCGGTGTCCTCTGGGAGCAAAGTCTGTCCYTTCCCTGTCTCAAACACCAATGATTCCTGTTCATGAACGTCCACAAGGATCACCTTTGCCTGCAGCTGAGAGGGGAAAGTCTCACAGATATTGCTACAGAAGCAGAAAAGGGACTTTTGGAAAGTTCAACCAGTGAAAGTTTGGATGGGGCTTGGAGCAATCTGGGATAGCTCAAGGTGTCTGCCCATGGCAGGGGATTGGAATGAGATGGGCTTTAAGGTTCCTTCCAACCCAAATAATTCAGTGATTCTATGAAAATCCCTCAGGAGAGATGCTCCAGTCCAAATTCCATGGAAAATGGGGAAAAAAACCCCAAAACTCTACCCAAAAGCACCAAAGAAATAGGAAAGAATATCAGACAAATTCCGATGGAAAAGGAGAGCAGGTGTCAAGAGAGGTTTGCACTCATCTTTTGGATGTCAATGAGAAACGAGCAGTKGAAATAATGTGGCATTGGAGCTGGGTGTCCCACTCTGAGGAAATAAGACTCAACATTTGGCAGTAAATCTGTTTATTGTCAGCAAATAGGAGATGTACATTTTTCTAAAAGCAGAAATATATGCATACTTGACATTCTTCTGAGGGACCTTTTATTTAAGAGTTTGTCCAATTCTTAACATTTCCAAGGGACTGTTAGGAATTTTCTCCTTTTTCTTCAATTACCTTTTGGTTTCCTGGTGGAAAAATCTGCAAGAAATATTGTATTTTGTAATTAGTCACAGGCACAGCTTAAATCACTGAAGTGCAACTGTTACCTTTTGATTACCTTTGGTCCTCTAAATTCTCCCTGGATTATGTCCACAACTCTGAATTATTTTCAAAGAAGAAGGGATTTTTTTCACAGGAAAAAAATTACTGTGAAAATACTTTGGCTTTTTATTTGGAAAATGATAATCAAAAACCTCAACAATTTCTAAGATGAAAAAAAAATAGTGAAATGTTTTCCTTTCTTGAGATTTTTCAAGGAAACAAGTTCTTTCCTGACCAGCTGTTCCAATCCCTTCTTTTTTCAAAGGAAGTTTATTTGATCTAGATTTTGGCTGTGACTTAATTGTCATTTCAAGGGGGAAAGTGAGGGTTATGGTATCACTGAACCCATGTGGATAAAAATCACCTGGAGGGACTCCCATCTCTTTAAAACCACCAGAATTGCTCCAGGGTAATGAGATTTTCCTAAGCTGCTGAGAAGAYACTGAATTCCTGCTTTTTTGGCTCCAGAGCTGCTTGGGTACAATAAATTATTGCTTCCTACCATTTCCTCATGGGCACACGGTGTAATCTCCTGCCATTTTTAGCCTGATTTTCTAGGGAGAATTAGGCTCACGTGAAWATTTCTCTCCGTCTCTGTTTACTGGCGCCACTTCATTAATTTTTTTGTCCTTTGGCTGCTTCATGGTTATGCAGTTTCCTGCAGATTTTCCAAAAATAGTCTGGGGAAAAGAGAAAATAAGGCCACGTCTGAACATAACCCTTGCTAGACATCAGAGAATCCACGTGGGATTGAGACACAGCTCAGCAAGAAGCCAAATTTTGTTGGTTTGCTCCTTGGGGAGCAATTGTCTTCCAGCAGGAAGCTGAGATTTTTGTGAAAAAAAGCAGGTGGATAAGCAAAAAACACAGTGAATTTCTTGGYTTCTGGAAGGCTTTGTATGGAATGAGAGTGACCTGTGCCTTTCMAAAGGATGATGATGATGCAGTTGAGCTGTGCTGTTCTGACCTTTGAACCTCCTGGTCCTGCCACAGCCAAGGGATTGGATTGGATTGGCCCAGGGCAGTTCATGGAATCAGGGAATGGTTTGGGTTGGAAGGGATCTAAAAGTTCATCTYRTTCCAYYCCCWGCCATGGGCAGGGACACCTYCCACTATCCCAGRTGGCYCCAAGCCCTGTCCAACCTGRCYTTGGWCACTYCCAGGGATCCAGGGGCAGCCACAGCTTCCCTGAGTGCCAGGGTCTCACCASTMTCACAGGGAAGAATTTCTTCTTAACATCTAATCTAAATGTACCCTCTAAATGTCAGTTTAAACCTTTCCCCCTTTTCCTATCACTCCATGCCCAATTGTCGTCCCTTTCACATCCCCAGAGCAGGAGGAACCAGGAAGGCAGTGGGCRAATGCACCAAGCCCTGGAGCGTGGCATCAAGCACGGTGGAGATTTCCATCAAAAGCTGAGCCTCTGACACACAAATTCCCAACCATTCCTGTTATCTGTCAGCCTGAGCTGGGGTCAGAACCATGGAACGGTTTGGGTTGGAAGGGAACTTAAAGACCATCCATTTCCAGCCCCCTCCTATGGCAGGGAACCTTCATGTTGTCAATGTGGATTCTGTGACCCAGGAGATATTTCCTGTGATGGGAATGAGGTGAAGGCACATAAACATCCTCCTCCTTGGTTCTCTGCAGCCATTCCTCCCAGCAGAGGGGCTGGGTGAGGAGCATTCCCACAGGGATCGGGGTACATGGAATGGTTTTCCCTTCCCTGTTGAGATGCAGATGCCTGATTTCTGGGAAATTCTCTTMGTGTTTTTCCATGGTTTCAGGAATTGCCTTGACTGTAAACAGGGCTGTTCTCCTGCCCTGATCTGCCTGCCCTGGCTATGGCCAATCTCAAAAATTGGGTAATGACAGAGCACAAAGGAAAGCTTTCTATTTCTGCCTCCTGGTATCTGTGTCCCAGCACATCCCTGCTGCCACAGAAGTCCTGCAGCAACCACGGCAGGGAAAGGAGTTTCTCTTTCCAATAATCCCAGGGGGGCTTCCTTGGGGAAGGAAGAGCTGTTTCTCAAAACCAATGAAATCTGAATGTTTCTGATTTCTTGAGATGTCCCTTCTGGGCTAAACTGAGAACCAGAGCAGCAATTAAAGGTATGGCAGCCTAATTAACCCAGTTTTCTCTCTTCTCTCCCATCCTGGCAGCAGAATTTTTTGACGATTATTCCGAGGGGCGAGAATGTGTCAAYTGTGGGGCCATGTCCACCCCGCTGTGGAGGAGGGATGGCACGGGGCACTACCTCTGCAACGCCTGTGGGCTCTACCACAAGATGAACGGCATCAACCGGCCCCTGTTCAAACCCCAGAGGAGGCTGGTAAGTCMAAATCACACACGTGGGACGAGGGTAAGGCAAGGAAACCTCGGCCAGCAGGAGGTGCCAGGGGTGTTTCAACTCCATCTGCACAGCTGAAGTCCAGATTTCCAAAACAAACCAGATTTTGTCATGCTCTGGACACTGCTTAGAGCAGTTCTCCAGATGCTCAGCCAGGCAGTAGAAGGGCTGGAGTACACAGGGTAATACTGGGATTTGTGGTCTTTGCTTTAGTACYCCTGCAAGCACATTAAAAGGAATGGCAACTCTTTCCAGTTCCAGTCAATCTGGTATCCCACAGGGGTCCCTGATCACTGCTGGGTGACCCTCTCCTTTCAGGATGACTTTTCTGGATCCCTTTTTTGAATACTGTGCTCCCAGATCCATTGGATGAACTGAAGCCCCTTTGTGGGGCAGGGCAGGGCATCCCAAAGTCTGTGGGATCATGGTGGGGTATGCACAAGGAACCTTGGGGATGGGAACAGGCTTGTTCAACCTGGAAAAGAGATGGCTTTGGGGTAACCTAATTGCAGCTTTTCTGGAGGCAGCTTACAGGAAAGCTGCAGAGAGACCATTTATGAGAGTGACAGGACAAGGGAGAATGGTTTCTAACTGACAGAGTAGGTTTAGATGGGATATTGGGAAAAAATTCTCCCCTGTTAGGGAGGTGAGGCCCTGGCACAGGGCGCCCAGAGAAGCTGTGGCTGCCCATGAACCCCTGGAAGTGTCCAAGACAGGTTGGACAGGGCTTGGAGAAGGCTGGGACAGTGGAAGGTGTCCCTGCCCATTGCAGGGGGTGAAACTGGATGCTCCCTTCTAATCCAAATCATTCCATGATTCTGTGAGCTCAGTGCTGATAATCTGCTGCTCCCTGCATGTTTTGGCAAGGGGCTTTTTGGAATTACATTACTCAATTACATGAGTCCATCATGACAGACTGAGGARGTTGGGACTGTTCAGCCTGGAGAAGAGAAGGTCTTGTGGAAACCTCACAGCCCCTTCCAGTATCTGAAGGGTTCTACTGGGAAGCTGTGACTCTTCACCAGGAACTGGAGTAACAGRAAAGGAGCAATGGGTACAGCTTTAAAGAGGGAAAATTTAGGTTTGATATTAAGTAGAAGTTTTTACTGTGAGTGTGGTGACATGATGGAATGGGTTGCCCAGGGAGGCTGTGGAGTGTTCAAAGCCAGATTGGATAAGGCCTTGAGGAACCTGGTCCAGTGAAGGTGACCCTGTCCATGGCAGGAGAGTGGAACTGGATGAGCTTTAAAGTCCCTTCTAACCCCTTAACATTCAATAATTCTACAACTTTCTATGATTCCATAATATTCTATAATCTTGAGCCCAAGCTAAAAGCAGCCACCCTGAGAGCCAGGTTTCCATCCCACCCTGCCCTGCCCTGGCTGTGCCAGAACCCAGCCGTCCCCTGCGAGTGCCAGCAGTGACACGGGCAGCCTGAGCGCTGCCAGTAGCCGCAGGCACCCAGCGCCCTCTGCTGAAATTCCCTTCAGACAGCGACTGATCCAGCCAGGATCTCACCCCGGCACCCAGGACCTTCCCTCCCTCATTCACCGGCCTCTAGAGCCTGAGCTTTGAAGGGTGAATGGAAGAGTCAGGCAGGTGTGGAGGATGTGGGGTTTTTTTTCCTCCACCTCCCACTGTGCTTCACATCTCAAAATTTGTATTTTATATGGCTTCAAGGCTGTTGCTTTCTGCTGTAACCTTTTGAGGCTGACTAAACCAGTTCACCCAGAAAGRGAATTTCAGGTCTGCTCCCTGCACTAATTCATTAGTGAGAATTCCTACTAATTATCCCTCTTTATCAAGTTGAGGAAGATGTTGCTGGAAGCTTCTCCTTTTTTATCTTCCCCTCGAGCTCCATCAGCAACATAGCACAAAGCCAGCAAGGAATTTGTAACATTTATGGCATTGATAACATCTTCTTGGGATAGCCRCGATGCCTGGAAGGTGAAGGGCTTGGGAGCTGGAAAAGGCAGGATGGTCTGAGATCCAAACACCTTAGTGCAGGTGTGATAAATATTCAGGRAGGTTCTAAGCTGCCACCTGCTGGAGATTGGGGCTCTGTTCAGGTTTAGATCGGGGGTTCTGGAGAAAAGGAGGCTCAGGGGGGACCTTGTGGCTCTGCACAACTCCTTGACAGGAGGGGGCAGCCGGGAGGTCAGGCTCTGCTCCAGGGAACAGGGACAGGAGGAGAGAAAATAGCCTCAAGCTGTGCCAGGGGAGGGTCAGGTTGGACATCAGAAGGAATTTCATCCTGGAAAGAGTGGTCAGGCATTGGAATACGTTTCTCAGGGATGTGGTGGTATCTCCATTCCTGGAGGCATCCAAGGATTGACTGGACATGGCACTCAGTGCTCTGGGCTAGGTGACCATGTGAGGACCAGTTACAGGTTGGACTCGGTGATCATCTTGGAGTTTTTTTTCCAATCTTTATTATTCTATTTCATGTCTCTGGCACCATCTGAGATGCTTCAGACCAGCTGAGAACCTCCTGGAGTCACTGGGAAGACAAGAGGGGCAGAAAGAGGCAGTGGGAAAACTGCAAAAGGATTTAAAAAGCAGAGAAATAAGAAAGGCAAGAAGAGAGGGAACCCTGAGGTGTGCAGGAGCGAGCTGGTTGGGATCTGGGGCGCTGCAGATGAGGGCAGTGAGGCAGGGCTGATGTGTTTCTTTTCTCTGTTGYCCCCACAGTCGGCATCTCGCCGTGTTGGACTCTCCTGTGCCAACTGCCACACGACCACCACCACGCTCTGGCGCAGGAACGCCGAGGGGGAGCCYGTCTGCAAYGCCTGCGGACTCTACATGAAGCTCCAYGGGGTAAATCCTCRCRRTGGGAGRGTGTCCATGGCAKCAGGCTGGGGGCTGGGCTCTTTGCACACCTCTGTGCTCTCCCAGAGCTGTTTTTCCCGCTGTCCTTTTGGGTTTTAGCCCCCCTCAAGGTTATGTCATGGGTATAGCTGCAAGGGGGGATGCATGCTGGGCATTTCTCACACACTATTTGGTCCTCCTTTCCTGACTAAAGATGCTCTCAGTGACATCCAGTGCTTGAGAGCAGATGAAAGAACATTCAGGAGAGTCAGGTCAAAGCTGTAAGATAGGGTGGATGAGGGAAAGTCTCGCCTATCTCAGAGTCTTCCTAGAAATCCTGGTGTCTTTCTGACCACCTCAGTGGGAAAAGCTCCTAAGGGAGGTCTCCCCACATAGGTTTGGTACCTTTCCCAAAAGCAGGTGTAAGCCAGACAGTTGTTTCTGTTCCAAGTTAAACAGGAAAGTCAATCAGATGAGCTGCTGATCCCTTCTGGCATTAAAACGTTCCTTACTATGGTGTGAACTTTCTTCCTGTTCCCATTTGGAGGCACATCTTGAGTCTCTCTTGATCAGGGAATTTGGGCTCCATCCTGTTGCTGCTTTCAATCAAACCAGCTCAACCATAAGTTACAACTGGAGTCATGTTCAGGAGGACCTTAGGGGCTTTCATAAACCAATCTGCTTTTCTATTTGGATCCCCAGGTTCCAAGGCCTTTAGCCATGAGAAAAGAGGGAATTCAGACAAGGAAACGCAAGCCTAAGAACCTTAACAAAACAAAGGCACCAGCAGGTGAGTGTTGAATGAATTTATTTTGTGTATTTGTGTGTGCACGTGTGTTTCTGACCCCAGTGGCCTCTGATTTAGAGATCCAGTGACAAAACAGGCTGATTGTCAAAAAAATGGGGATGTCTAAATACCTGAATATCCTTACTACTATTTTTTTAATTTATTTTTACCACACTAATTTCTGGGTGGGTGGGTACAGCTCTGTGCTGAAAGGTCTTTGGAAAGAGCCTGTTTTACCCTCTGATTTCTCTCAGGCCCATCCAGCAGCGAGAGTCTTACCCCGACCACCAGCTCCACCAGCAGCAGCAGCAGCAGCACCACGACCACCGAGGAAATGCGCCCCATCAAAACAGAACCTGGGCTCTCATCTCACTACGGGCACCCCAGCCCTGTTTCTCAGGTACAGAGGGGAGATGCTGGCAGTGGAAAAAAAAAAAGGGAAATAGGATGGAAAATACCTTTACTTAGGTACTTATATGGAAGCACCTGAAGGGAGTCTGCAGGAAAGATGGAGAGAGACCATTTAAAAGGGCCTGGAGTGACAGGAAAAGGGGAAATGGATTCAAACTGACTGAGAGAGGATTTAGATCGGATWTTGGGAAAAAGTTCTTCCCTGTGAGGGTGGTGAGGCCCTGTCCTCGGAGAAGCCATGGCTGTCCCATCTCTGGAAGTGTCCAAGGTGAGGTTGGACAGGGCTTGAAGCAGCCTGGGGTAGTGGAAGGTGTCCMTGCCCATGGCAGGGAGTGGAACGAGATRAGCTTTAAGGTTTCTTCAAACCCAAATCATTCCATGATTCTGTGTTTCTTGAATTAGAAGGAAAAGGGGAGAGGAGGAAAGAGCCTGCCCAAAATATCTCACACAGGCTGCATCTGCAGCAAATCCAGACACATTTTTACAACAGCACCAGCCAGCACTGAAGGGATTCACACAGCCCTCTAAGGTTTGAAGTTCTGCTCATGGAATTCTCCTTYTCCCACAGGCATTCTCAGTCTCTGCCATGTCCGGGCATGGATCATCCATCCACCCTGCCATCTCAGCTCTGAAGCTTTCCCCACAGGCTTACCAGACAGCCATGAGCCAGTCTCCCCAAACCAGTTCCAAACAGGACTCGTGGAACAGCCTGGTGCTAGCTGAGAACCACGGGGACATCATCACTGCATAACCTGGCCCYTTCCCTACGAACTCCAGGCTGATCYGCTCGAGAGATGAAGAAGATGTCACATAATCATCAAGTCAATGTTGTCTCCCACCTCCCCTGCTCTTCTGCCTTCTCTCCCCTTGTGAAATGTTCCAGCAAAGAGGTAAAGAGAACTTATCCGAGGTGTAGGGAAGCTTTTATGAAATGAACRGAGAAGACTCAGATCTCAAAGTAACTCAAGGATTTGAAGCCTTTTTAAATGAGCCTCTCTATTTGATTGTCACTACCTTCTATGAAACAGCCAGAAACACAGAGATGGACACAGTTCTTGAGTTTTATTTAGCAATATCTGGCATTTAAGACTCAGACAATGGTGGAACAGAGACACTTCTTCTGTCACCACCTGTTCTTTTCCTGARCAGAAGAAAATGCCACCAACTTCTCATGACCCAAATTCCATGATCTTCCACCAAAYGGAACCAGTTCCAGGACAGTTTGCTGAACAGACTTCACTAGAGATTCCTTAGTGGCTTTAGTGGATTTGATATGATGTAGGGCAGAGAAAAAAAGAGACACCTTCCCTTCCTCCTCTGCTCACACACATAGAGCATTTTCTTCATTTTCCTAGATGGTCTGGAAAGCTCATGAATGTCCGTATTTAATAGTAACTCCTTTTCTATTTATCACYACAAAATCATGGGACTGTGTTTCCAAAAGGTTGTTGGCTGAGCCTGGAGTAGGTCTGTCCAAAGTCAAAGGGGGATTTTGGAAGAAGGAACTTTCTGGAAGCAGGTAGATGAGACCTATGCTGGTCATCAAATCCTGGAGGAAATGGCTGGGCTCTCTCTGATGGATAGCAACAAGCCAGGCTTAGAGATGATTCAAGAGCACAGCAAGTGAAAGATGCTCTTCTAACGCTGCTGTGCCATTGCTTTTCAGACAGATAATTTAATTATTTGCCTATTCTCATGTTGGTTTGGATGCCACTGGTGAAATCTGACTGTCACTTATTTTTGGCTGTRCTGTGAGTGCCCACTTTCCCCCTAACAGCTGGCTCATGACCATTTCCTGCATCCAACCCTTCAGGATTTCACTTTTTGCAAMAGGCAGTGGTTTCAGCCCCTATTGGAGGTGGTAGGGGCTGTTTTCTTTACCAAGCATGTGCACAGACTTGCTTGCCTGCAAGAGAAGCACAACTCCATTAAACAAGACTCATCTGTTTGCTTGCCCATAAGGCTCTCAGCTACCAGGGAATCTGGCAAATGGAGTTGGAAGAGATGCTAAGAGCTCACTGACTCATTCTCTTCCCCCAAAGGGATCAGGTTAGATCCTGTCTAACCCAGCCCTGGCTGCTCTGTCTCTGGCTTMACAAACTCCAACTCCAGGACTGCAGATGCCACAGCTCTCCTGGGCAGTCCAACTGCTTCACCAGATGCTTCCCATGATGCTGCATCAACATTTCCRAGGAAGGACAGCTTTGCCTGTCCAYGCAGAGAATTTCTGGGAGACCTCATCCTGCAAGATTCTTCACTCCTGTTTCTGTCTGCTCCCAAGCTCTGTTACCCTTCTTGCCTTCCCAGCTCSTCTCTTTTCCTCCCTGCATCCAGAACTTGAGTACAGAAATAACAAGTGAAAAATCTCTAGGGGGAAATTGTGCTTCCCTCCCAAATGTGCCACCCTCTGTCTCCCACTGTTCAGCATTCCCACAAGGAGTGCTTTTCCACACAAACACTAAGGCACATGGCTTGGTGAAGAGGAGAGCCACGGACAGGTTTGAAGCAAAAGAATGGCATTGTGTTGTCTTTGTTGGAACTCACCCTTTTCCTGGTGGTGTAGAAACTTCTCTAAGGAGAAGGATTCAACTGGACTGGTCATGACTGGAGAGTCCTGGACCCTCCCATATTCCTCATGCTCTCCACAGTTCAGATTTGCAGGGTTTTGGAGGRGTGACAGAGCCTCCACACTCCCTAGAGAAAACACCATGGCAATGATGCCATGGGAACGGCTGGATGGTGTTTGCACCAATTCCCACTCTGTCTCGCAGAGCTAATGCAGAGTTTAGCCTCATTAGTGCCAATTACAGATGAGGAAAGATATTCATGAAACATGAATAAAAAGAAATTAAATTCTGTGATTCTGTTCAGACTCACTAGGCTGCAGAGAAGAGGCCAGAAATAGCACAGAAAAAAAATATTAATTTGAGATGAAAACACAAAGGTGTTTCTCCATTGGCAGGAAGGTCTTTAGCCAAACTCCTCTTTGAAGTAAATCCCTTTGTAAATGGCAGTTGAGCTCTTCTGGGATCTGACTGTGAATTCCTGGCCACAACACAGTAGCCTGCACCACAAAATGCCACTTGGTTCATGCCAACTTTTGAGATATCCAGAATTACCCTGGAAAGCCCTAAAGGGAGTGGAGCCTCCTGGAGAGGAGCTAAAATCCAAACCACCCACAACCCTCATTTCTCTTTCCATCTGGAGACTCACAGTGGCTCTGCCCACCTTCCCTTATTGTTGTGCTCCTCCTCCTCCCCTCAAAGCCAAATTCCCCAGTGGAATTTTTCTCCTGCCTGTAGAACACACTCAGAGATGCCATAAATGACTCTGCTTAAAATGCCAGAGGGAAAAATCCCTGCAGAACATAAGACTGCCTTATGYCCCTTTGATAGAGATTAATGAACAGGTTTTTAGCCTTCCTCAAAGCCTGAAAAATAATTCTTGAAACAAAGTGAGGAGCATTTACAAGTTCCTGGTAACAGAACAAGACAACTGCTTTCGAAAGGTGAAGTTCTGAGGGGAAACGTCAGATTTCCCCTCAGGGGAACTCAGAGGAATTGTAGGGATAGAGGACAGTTCTTTAGGGGTAGAAATTGGCTCTTTTATCCCCCCTTTTGCACCAGAAGCAGAATTTCTTATACACCTGGTTCTGTGGTTCTTTTCAATCATCCAAAATTGTTGTAGAGCTGCTGTTGGTCCAGGAGCATTTCTCTTTTTCTGGCCAATGCACATACCGAGATGGTGAGAGACTGATCTCAGATGCAGCAGCATCATTTCAGGTGGSGTACAAACACAGCATTATTGATAGGTCTCCTTCTTCAGAGCTTCTAATGATCAAATGGCAGAGTAATTTAAATCAGGAGGGATGAGATCAGATTTCTCAGGGCTCTGTTCAGGTGACTTTTGAATATTCCCAMGGATGGAAATCCCACCGCCTCTCTGGGTTCCTGTTCCAGTGCTGGACCACCCTCATGCTGGAAATGTTTTTCCAAGAATCATTGGAAAATTAATTGCTCAGGCTTGGGGATCCCCATGTAATGAGTCATGGTGGGAGGTTGAACGTTTTCTCCAAGCCCAGGAATCAYTCAGAGCCACCTCTTCCAGGTAGGAGCTGGGATGGCCAATGCAGGATGGCAAACCCCAGAAGTGACAGATGAAGGGACACTCACAGGACAAGAGGATTAAAGTGCCACCACTTTCAGGACACTCAGCTCCTTCCAGCAGGAGGGGCCACTTCAAAAATTCCAGGTTTCACCTGAGCTCTGCTTTCCTGCCCATGATGGGGGAGGCATTTAGGGCCTGTTTTGGTAATGAATTAGATACAGTTATTAGAGACCCATTAAGGCAAAGTAATTATTGGTTTTATTGTTGCTTTTATTGCTGGAGAACTTAGTGAGGTCTATAGCAGATCCTACAAATACAGGAAGAGGGTAGGGCCCACTCTTGCAAAACACCTCAGCACGTATAAAAATGCATAAAAATGCATTTGTGGGATTTGTTCTCCTCAAGATCATCCCTAATCATGAAAATTTTGATGCTGAAGGGTTTGCACCARACCTTGGCAATGGCTCAGTGGCCACCAAAGTTGAGATGGGCAKATGAGAACCAGAACAGGGAGCCAAGAAAGGTCATTTAACCACTTCTAAATGTCTTTGCTCTTTGTGGAAGTGCAATATCTTGATTCACTTCAGTTATTCTTTGTCAATTGATCAGAACAGATCCATGAATCACTTGCAATCTCATGGGCTTGGATGCAGAGGATGCAATCAGGAGGAGCTCAGGAATATTGCAAGGGAGCTTTAAAACTAATCAACAACTCTCATTGTAACTCCAAAGCTGTGACTATGTCAGGGGTGGTGTTTTGTTTTGCCTTTTTTTTTTTTCCTCCCCATGTATAAAGTTTGAAGCTTCTCAGGTCACCTGGGATGGTCTCGTGGAAACAGACACTTACTTGTAAGGGGGAGAGGGAAACCAACCAACTGAACAAGCTGTAATTATTTAAAGATGTAAAAAAATATCTATTATGAAGTAGTATGGCTACCAATCCACGTAACTTCTACACCTTTAGAACTAATGGAAATAAAATAATGATAATAAAACCAGAAGGCTTCTGCTTGACTCTGTCTACCCTCTTGGAGGGTCTCTTGGAGAGGGCTGGGGATAAATGATGAAATATTGAAAACATATGAAATGGTGCAATGGGTCCTGTCCTACGGAGCTCACAGTGATAGAATTTCAGGGTAATTTTAARTCAAAAGGGATGAAAGCAGATTTCTCAGAGCCCTGTTCAGTCAGGTTTTGATTACTCCTGAAGACAGAAATCTTACCACATCTCTGGRTTCCTGTTCCAGCRTCTGMTCACCCTCATGGTGGAARAGCTTTTGCAAATCATAGAATSTTAAGGGSWTGGAAGAGACCTTAAAGCTTAYGGCACCCCAAACCYCTGCCATGGGSAGGGACACCTTCCACTATCCCAGGTTGCTCAAGGTCTTATCCAGCCTGGCCTTTGACACTTCCAGKRATGGGGCATCCACAACTACCCTGACCAACCTGCCCCAGTGTTTCACCACCCTCAAAGTTAATAATTTCTTCCTAATATCTAATCTAAATTTCCCCTCCTTCAACTTGYACCCATTACTCCTTGTCCTATATAAATTTCCTATATGATAAATATTAGATTATAAATGAAAGACAAAATCTTTGGTAAATTAATTGCCTAGACCTGGAGACTTCCAAGCAATGAGTCAGTGCAGGAGACTGAACGGTGTCTCCACCCGAGCCACACAGGACCCTTTCCCATATGTAGGACCTGGGATGGCCAATGCAGGATGACAAACTCAGAGGTGACAGTCCCAGCAATGGAGCAACTCAAAGCCAGGCTGGACAGGGCTTGGAGCARCCTGGGATAGTGGAAGCTGTCCCTGCTCATGGCAGGGGAGTAGAACTGGATGAWCTYTAAGGTCCCTTCCAACCCAAACCATTCTGTGACTATGATTTCAATATTAAAAAGAAAAAGCCCCAATATTGGTAACACCACTAACATGGCAGAGAGGAGAAAACCCTATGAGGGCACTTAAAAACCATCATGGTTCACCTTTTTGGTCTTCTCACTAAATTTTACTTAGTAGGCTTAGTTCAGCCTGAGCACTTCCAGCTGAACTCACAAGGAACACCCCCAATCCAAATCAGGTTGCCAGCAAAGGCTGTGCTCAGGCAGCTCCACCCTCTGTAGGGGCACAGCCCTCCTTTAAGCAGCCAATCACCCTCCCAGAGTGCCCAACTTCCTTCCCAGTCCAACCAGTTCCTACAGACMGGTACAACAGGTGGGGTGAGTGAGGGCAGCACCTGAAACCCGCCCATTCCTCCCCCAACAGCCAACTGGGGAGSTGCCCTGCTATTTTAGAGGGAGGATCTTTCTCCCCTATAAAAGGAGATGGGGAGAGTATTTGGCTGCAGGAGCTGTTGTTGAGGGTGGGTGGAAGTGTTGTGGGAGGTGGCTGGGGGTGGAGGAAGGGCTCTGGATTTATGGAAGAGCAGAAGAGAGGCAATGAAGTAGGGGGAAAGGCTGCCCAGCCTGCTCCCCAAATGGATGCACGGGGTGGGTCTGGGGAGAAGAGTGGCTTGAGAGCTGGATGCAGGAATGTGGAGCTGGGGAGGAGTGCACTGAGTGCCTTCACTGCCCTGGGGAAATGTGGGTGAGAATGGGGGGGGGGGGGGGGGGGAGCTGGGGAGGAGTGCACTGAGTGCCTTCACTGCCCTGGGGAAATGTGGGTGAGAATAGTGGGAGAACTCAGTGCCTGTTTTTTTGGGATGGCTGCAAAATTGATGAGTGTGAGAAGATGGGGAGCTCTGCACCTTCCCTGATTGCACGTGGAGGGTCAGGGCTGTGCCTTGAAATCTCTGCAGGAGCCTTGCCCAGGGGTGTGAGGTCGCAGGGGGCCTTCTTGCAATCCCTGAGTGGAGGATGACAGTGTGGGGGTGTGGGCAGAGCTGGGGTGAGCTGCACRAGCCTTGTCCTTGCTCTGTTCTGCTGAATTCTGGGTTTCTCTCTGGGCACAAGGATTGGGAATGAGCCCATACAGGGGAGGATTTCTCCTGGAGGCCCGGCTCCCTGCCCCAGACCCGCAGAGGTACCTGCTTAGGTGGTCATGTTCTTGGGGTGATGGGTGTCATGCCCTGCTGAGGGCTGGGGATGATTTTCCTCCTCTTCCTCCTTGGAGGGCGGAGTGTTTTGGGTGAGGCTGAGGTGGCTCTGGAGTAAAAAGGTGAAGTAAGGAGGTACATGGAGAGAAGAGCATCAAAGACAGCAAATACTGGCTCTTTTAATGTCCTGGGGAACAGCACAATCTTCCCTCTTGAGGAGGAGTGYTACTCTGCTGTCAGATGTTGCAGCTGGGGCGGTGTGAGCATTAACACCTTGCAGAGCCTCCCAGCACTTCCAGTGTTCCATGGAAGTTCCAAGGAGCCTGTGGAGAACTGAATCAGCAGCAGTCAGAGCTCTGCAGATGATGAACTTCACTGGGATGTGAGTTCTGGGCTGTATGAGCTGTCCTGGGGCTCAGTTGGTGCTGCCTGACATGAAGCCAGTGCCTGGATAGTCGGGGCATACTCCTTGGATGACCTGAGCCCAGCAGCTTCCAGGGATCCAAATTGCTGCTCATGCCTTTGGCAGCAGGAGCAGCTCTTTAGCTGTCTCTTGATCAACATAATATGCAGATTTTTGGGATGAAATTGGAGCTGAATAACTATCACATGCCCTTGAAGACATAAGACTAAAGCTCACTCTTTTACCCCTGGTAAATCTAGTTTTAATGATCACCTGATATCTTTACCTGGATCTAAAAAATTAATTTGATGTTCTCTGGTGTATTTTTCTCTTGAGCTGTCCCAAAAGGGATTTGGTTTGTGCTGCAGCACAGGGAGGCCTTTACAGCCATGCTGCCCTGCCTTTTGAGGGTTTGTCCATACCCTGCTGATCCTCACAGCCATGCCAARGATGTCCCCCTGCTGTGGCAGCATATGTGGCACCAGAAGCTTTGGTTTTAGTCACTCTGAGCTGGTGCAAAAGTGGGCTGAGCTCTCTGAGTCAGTGGAAAAGCTGACATGCTGGCATGAGGTGGGAATGGCTCTTTTGATGGGGGACCCCAGGATTGCTGTTGATTTTCACATCAAGCTGCCTCAGAGCTGTGCCAAGCACCTCAGAGCCCTGTACTGTGGAGCTTGAAGCTGAGCCTCTGGTCAGTGCTGATCTCTGGGATTAGCTTGCAAGAAGAACTGGCACTGTGGGATGAAAGACAAACTGAGCTTTCCTTACGCTGGAGCCTGCTTCCTTGTACACCCACAGCCTGCAGAAGTCCTCAGAAGAACTGCAAGTGACTGGGATTTTGTGCCACAAAAACTCCTTAGTATTGGTGTGACTTCCTGGAGGGAGCTGCAGGATGGTGTTGCTTCATGTCCTTCTCATGCAGAGCCTTCTGATCCCAGATGCTGTTAGCAGAGAGTCGGAATGCTCCCAAACTGGTTCCTTGCCTTTGCAGTCAGTGGGGAAAGCAGTGGGGAAAGCAAGGTTAACCCAGTTCTGATTCCAGGGCTGATCTTTCCATGAGAGCAGCACTTCCCATGGTGTATCAGGAAAAAGATGGGTCACTCGTCATAGAATCACAGAATGCAATGAGTTGAAGGGACCTTAAAGATCATCACYTTTCAACCYCCCTGACCTGGRCAGGGAAACCCTTCACTACCCYAGGAAAAATTCAGGGAGATTCCCCAGGCCAAATTCCTGCTTGTAGGGTGAAAACTGCCATCAGAGCAGACTGTGTTGGATTAAATTATACATCTCCCCTAGGATGGGAACTCTTACACCTCCCTGGTCCTGAAAGAAACCTATTTATCTTCATGGACTTTGCCACAGGGGCTTAAGGAGGAAAATGTGGGTGAGGAGAATGTTTTGTGTATTTCTGAGTTGTAACTTCCCTTCAAGTCTAGGGCACAGTGTGAGAAGGGCCTGCTAATTCTTCAACAGCTGCTGGAGATGCCAGAGGGCCCATCAGTGAGGCAGTTCCAGCTGCTGACCTCCCCTTTTGTGGGACAAGTGGTGACCAAGGTGGGGGGAAGCAGCCGGAAGCTCAATGTGAATGACCTGAATGCCCTGAGGCTCCAGGACTCCCAGGTGAGCTGTGCTAAAGTTGAATTTACAGATCCATGGCAAGTCTGAGGGAAGGCACCATTGTCCTGCAGCAGGGTGACAGGAGGTGCAGAACCTGTGAATGTTTCCCTGAGGGTTTCACCTGGCTAAGCTGAGGTGTCTGCTGTGGGCACTTGTCAGAAGTCACACTTGGTGTTGTGCTGGTGCTTCACTGGCCCRACACTGCTCAGATGATGATTTGGACCTGACTGGCCAAACCCCTGGTGCAGCTTCATCTCTGATTAAAGGTGGGGAGCAAAATGAGAAGCACAAAGTGCATACAGTAGGGAGGTGAATCAGAAGCAATGGTGACAGATTTYAAACCCCGAGTGTGTATCCTGGTGGGTCTGATCGGAGCCCCTGGGAAGGATTCAGAGTTAAGTGGCATCTAACACCTCGTGCTTCAGGTAGGCAAAAAAAGGATGAGTGCAGCTCTGACGGGAATGGCTTGGATACTGATGAATCCTGTGTTCAGGATGGGGTGATGGGCCCTCTAATAGAGGCTGTAGAAAATTTTCACTTGTATGGAAACAGCCAGTTTTTTTATCCCTGGAAGTGTTCAAAGTCAGGTTGAATGAGGCCTGAGCAACCTGCTCCACTGGAAGGTGTCACTGCCTATGGCCATAGGGTTGGAATGAGATGAACTTTAAGGTGCATTCTAACCCAAGCCTTTCCAGAATTCTGTGGTCCTTTATGGATCATCAACACATCCCACTCATTTCTCAGGTTCATGGGAAGAACTTGTACCTGGCATTTGTGACAGCTGGAGGTCCCTTCAGACCAACTGCAGAAGGGACAGTGCTGCAAACAGAGGCTGCTTGTGGGGCACATAGTCCTGCCCAGGGAGGGCAAGGGCAGGTTGGTGCCCCACATTCCCAGGATAAGGAGCTGCARGAACTCCAGCACTCACAATCTGAAGTCCCAGATGGAGCAGAGGGTCCGGGCAATTGGCTGCGCATCCATTTCGGCATGTTCGGCAGCATCCGGGCTAATGAGTTCTCAAGGGCAAGAAGAGCCAATAAAAGGGGAGACTGGAAGGATCCTGCGCCCAGGTATTTCATGGAATCTTCTTTCTGTCTGCCTCTTCTCTTTTTTTTTTGCCAAACAAAATTTGTGTGGGGATGCTCTGAGCCTTGATTTTCTCTGATAATTGCTAAAGCACAAGAGATGGCATGAGTGGATGTGGGGTATGTTCAACAGGGGACTCTGCAGTGGAATTGTAGGATGCAATTGCCTGCCAGCCCAGGGATCATAGTACCAGCTCTGTTAAGGTTTTTATTTAAAAGAGAGAAGTTTTAGGATGCCAGACTGAATCATGCCCTAAAAATGCCAGATTCTCCAAATTGTGTGTTTCTAAAAAAGCCCTGGATGAATAGCAGATGTCTAGGACAGCTGGAATCACAGGCTGGAGTGATGCTGTTGAAGGCAGCAGTGAATTGAAAACACARTTTGTGTCCTAAGTCCCACTGGATTTGTACAGAGCAAGGGGAAACAGGCTGTCCAGAGAAGCTGTGACTGCCCCTGGATCCCTGGAAGTGTCCAAGGCCAGGTTGGATGGGGCTTGGAGAAACCTGGGATTGGTAGAAGGTGTCCCTGCCCATTTCAGGGAGTAGAACAAGATGGTCATTGGGTTTTCTTCCAAGCCAAACCATTCCATTCTGTGATTTTTGAAGGATGACTTTATTTCTATAAAAGTATTTTTGTGTGCTATTTTTAGTATCCATTTTCCTGATTTGTAGACCCTCCTGCTGGCGCCTTGGTCATCCAGGGAACATAGGACAGCAGAAGAATGACTCTCCACAAGTTGTGTGGTTCCACCAGCAAGTTTTGTGGCTGAAACCATTAAAGAGGCCACCTTGCCTTGAGACAGTGGCCAGTTGCAGAGTATAACAGGTGTTTCAGAGATATTTCTGGTGAGAGACTCCAACTTCTTCTCCCAGGCTGGTTCTGCACTTTGAGAGYGGAGGTTTCCTTGTTTTCTACAACTGCCGGATGCTGTGGTGCTCCTCTCCAAGGGCTGATCCTTCTTCTGACATCCTGTCTGTGGAATTCCACCGTGGCCAGGCGCTGCGTGCCCTCCGTGCACCCGACCCCATCTGCTACACCCTCCTAGACCAAAGACATTTTTCAGGGCTGGGTGAGTTCCAGGGAATAGTGGCAGAAGGATAAGTGAAGGAAGGTGGGTGGGATGTCTACAGATGCAGAAGTGCATGTCTGGGCAATTTGTTCTTTAGTCTAACAGCTTCTGGTTGATCCAGCTGAGGATTCATGGTCATCCTCAAGGRTAGAAGGAAGAGAAACTCTTCCAGCCTAATCCCAGATCTAAGTCTACTCTTTGGATGTCATCTCTGCCAGAGGGAATGGCTTTGTTGGCTGTGATCCTTGAGGCAAAATTCACAGGTTGGAGCCAGCAGCCTGCATCAGCTTGATTAGAAATATCCTTTTTGTCTCCTTGTTTCTGACTGTTTCCAGGGAACATCATTAAGAATGAGATCTTGTACCTGGCCAGGATCCAYCCATTAACACCAGGCTCCCTCTTGGCTCTCTCAGATCTGGAGCATCTGCTGGACTGCATTGTTCRGTTCAGCTCTGAGTGGCTGCACAACAAACTGCATGGCCAAGGGCTGCACCCCAAGGTGTACCAGAAGGAGCAGTGTCCCCTGGGGCATCCCCTGATGAAGGGGACTTTTGGACCCCCGGGTGGCTTCAAGAGACTTACATGGTGGTGCCCTCAGTGCCAGCCTGARGTGCTGCCAAGGGATGGAGACCCTYCCCCAGTCACAGAGTGATCTGTCCTGAACAGTGCTAGGTACTCTCTGAATTCACCATGGTTAGTTGTCCTAGAAAGTCTTCATGGTTTCTTTGAAGCTTTTGAGTTTGGTCCTTAGGGAGCTGGCACTTAGAGTTAAGTGCTCAGTGAAGGTCCCAAGTCATCTGAATGGCTGCAGACATGGAAGTGTGGTTGTCTATGATTTTTTGTTACAGTGGCACAAAAGTGTCAAAGGTTTGACCAGTTCTGAGGTGTTTTGGCCACCCTGTTCAGTGACAGTGAATGGGAAGTGGGAGGTGTTGAGCAGGGAATTGCTGTGGTCTGAAGTGACCCTGCCCCTTGACCCTGGAGGAGACAGCAGAACAGAGGACATCCCTCTGCCTAAACAGCTTGATTAATTTGGAGTTAAATAATCCTGCTTCTGTCTGGGTGTGCTGGGCTGGGARTGGGTGTGGTTAAACATCAGGGGCMGYTCCCTGTGTCAGATCTTACAGGAGCAGCTCCCTTCTTCCACGTCAACATACACAAAATATACGTCAGCAGTGCTTGGTGGAGCTCATCTGTGCACTGACAGGTTTCAGCTTTGTGGCAAACTGCCAATTCCAGATCTCATTGTAAAAAAAA